TTCAGATGGCTCCAGAAATCGCAAAGATGGTTGCGCGCAGACACCAATCGCCAAAGCCTTTTACATGGTCAGTGATTTTGTTGGCGGTCTTCACTTTTAAATTCAATGCGGCTAGTGGATGGGACCACATGTTTCTAATAGGGTCCAAGGAGCCCAGAAGAGCTCTCAAGAGAGCCAGGACGCTCCAAAGATGACCCTTTCTGACGAATCAAAGACGACACAACCACCCCCCGACGACGCGTTGACCTCCCAAGGGGGTCACGCGAGCCCCAACAATGACCCCAAGAGGCCCCCAAAGAGCCCTAGAGCGCAAGAAGAGTCCAAGATATTCCTAGTAGAGCTACAGGAGGGCTCAACACAAGACACGCCATCAATCTTGCGCCCTCTCAAGAGGGAGGCGTTTTCTGCCCCCATGCTGGCCAGTTGATGGACAGCGTGGGAAGCGCGGGATCGTTGCGGTCAGGTATTATGGAAGTTCGAGGTCACCTCTCGGTCTGTAACCGCACCGCTTTGAAACCACCAAGAGGAAGAGCAAGCAGCGGAAGAGCAGGAAGGAGCAGGATCATCTCGATATGGGTGCGGGTCTGGCCCAGAGGGGGGGAATTGGTACGCAGCATCCCCACTCAGTGAGAGTTGCGGGGCGGGGGCGCGGGGGGGGGCAAGCCCATAAGCGCAAGCCGCTACTCTCGCGCACGAAACCATCGGCAACCGCGCTCCACAGGTCATTCGTTCCTGGGGACGCTCTTGTGTGTGGCCGACCAGGGCGGCCGAGACGTCTCCACAAGTCCCATCCGTGGCCTCAAGTGACCCTCCAGGTCCTCCTAGGGCAGGTTGAGCTCATCGATTACGCTGAGGGCTGAAGGCTGCCTCCGGTCTGCCTTGTTGCAGTCCAGGATGATTGCATGGCAGCCCCAAGCCCCCAAGCGGCCATACGGCCCAAGACTTGTACACACAAAGGTCGCAGCCCTGGCCTATCTTGCTGGATTGGAGGTGGAGCGATGGCAGGGAGAGGAGGAGGAGGAAGAGGAGGAGGAGGAGGAGGAGGAGGAGGAGGAGGAGGAGGAGGTGTAGCTTACAGTGGCCTTTGTTCATTGCTACGCGGCGAGTCAGCAGTTGCTGCAGCTGCAGCCTCGCGGCGCGGGTCGCCCCGAACCAGGACACCCTCCACGCGTTTGCGTGCGGCCTATCCGTGCAGGGGAGATGCGGGACAGTCCCGCAAGAATCCGCCCGCGTGCAATCGCGCGTGCGGCTCTGCATCCAGATGCCGCTGCCGACTATCCCTCCTCGGGCTTGGCAGCCTCCGGGGTGCTTTGGACCTCATACCCTCTTTCACGCAAAGGAAGTGGAGGAGGTGGAGCTGCGGGGAAGGATTGGGAGGAGGAGGACTGGCAGAGGGCGCGGGATGAGTTGGACCTGGACGACGACTAATTAAGGCGACTGCGGCGGCGGCGACGACGGGGGTGGAAGATGAGGGATCCATCAGACATGCGGGGGTGAGCGAAAAAAGGCTCAAGGAACGTCCTCCTCCTCCTCCAGAGTGTGTCCAGAGAGCGAGATGACCTGCACAATCCGAGGTCCGGGTGCGCAACATCACCCTGATGGAGGCAAGAAGGTGCCGGGATATTATAATATATATATATATATATATATATATATATATATACATATAATATGTATGTGTGTGCCTTGTTCTTTGTCCTCGTCGTCATCCTCGACATGTCCCTTCTTTTGCTCCCTCTTCCCGAACGTGTTATTTCTGTTCTACTTATCTTTGTCAGATCGCCCTCTTCCTCCCGCCCGCAGCCGTTGTGTGCTCAAAGTGCGAAGGCACGCCTCCGGCGTGCCTGCAGGCCCTGTGGGCCGTGGCGCCCTCAGCGCTGCGGCTGCTGGAGGCCGCCGTGCTGCGTTGCCCTGCCTGCCCAGGCTGTCCTGACTGCAGCTGCCCAGCGGTCAGCTGCTCGCTGACCTGTGCGGGCCCCGCGAGCACCAGCCAGATCACTCTGAGGGAGCGCGACTGGATCGGGCTCGCCACCGCGTTCGTGAGTGGCGTTGTGGTTCTGCGAGTCTGGGACTGCCTGAAAGCCACCAGGACTCGACAGCAGGGCGACAAGCCTGCAGGAGACCGCGGTATCACCATCAACTACGTGGAGAGGCAGTCTGTGTTGGAGCCACCGCCCAGGACTGTTGCCACCCCGTCTAGCCTGCGATCGCGATACTGGATCGTTCCCTGGACATCAAGGAGTTTCAAGTATTGGTGGAGTTCCTAGGCGACGCAGACGGCTTGTACTGGCACATGAGAGTGCTGCTGGCCCGCGCGGGCCGTGCAGGGGCGTGGGTCACGTTGACACCGACACTGGGGCTATACACCCACGACCTGGACACAATCAGGCGCATTGCATTGGCGCGGAATGCGCCATGGCCCGACAGGGTGAACAGGAATGAGATATTCGGGTTCGATCCGATTTCGAGGGTGGAGCTGAACCAGTATGTGCAGCTGGCCAATGTCCAGGCGCGTGTGCTGGCCGACGACGACGGCGACCCGGAGGCGCCAGAGATGCTCTGGCTGCGTGCAGGTCCAGGACTCGACAGGATCGGCGAGGTCATCCCGCAGGAGGTGATTGATGATCAGGAGCGCTTCGCGGATACATAGGGGACGCAGCGGTCGCATAGCTCAATGGCACAGAGGTGTGGGCCGCTCGAGTCAATGCGAATGATCGCGAGACCTGGCTGAGAGAGGGACAGGCTGTTGAGCGGGATGGTCGCATCATCGGAGTGCATCTTCGGAATAGCAAAAGGCCCGTCATGTTGAAGGAGGCCCTGGCCTTGCACTCCCAGGTGCAGTGCGATGACTGGGGCTTCCCTGGCTGGAGGTTGGCGGTGGAGTACCTCACGCTGATCGACCAAGCTGGGGGGTTCGAGGTGTACGAGCGAAACTGGGAGAACGACTCCGGGGTGCATTCAGGATCGGCTGCCTCCCACCAGCACCGCTCGGGAACAGAGACCCTGAGGCTGCTGACCGAGGTTGACCAGGTGGACGCGCCCAATCTTCATGGGGTCGAGAACCTGCGCCGGCGGCAGGCCCAGTTGGAGATGGCGGTCGACCGCGACCCTGCCCACTCCGATTTCACGGGGCTCGAGGAGATCATGGGCGGGGCGGTCGCGGCATCAGGGGCCGCCAGTGCGGCGGCGCTTCGCGAGTGGGTCGCTGGTCGGCAGAAGGACAGGGCACAGGTGCTCAAACAGGCTCGCCTCGAGAGGGTGGAGCGCGCGCTGGCCGACCCATCGGCGAAGCGACTCGCGAAGGCCAAAGCAGACCCCGAGAAGATGAAGGGAGGCGGCAAGGGCGACATGGGGAAGGGAGGCGGCGGCACCGCCTCCCAGGAGGCATGGCCCACTTGCCTCGGGGGCGCGGTCTCCGCGGCGCTGCCCGCGCCGCTGGAGAAGGGGGCCGCGCCCCCCCGCCTGGGCCCGCCAGACGGGTGGTCCAGAGACGTTTTTTGGGCACCGTCGACACGGCGAACCTTCCCCACTGCCTCGGGCATCTCCGCCGCCAACGAGCGGGCTCGCGAGTTGCCCTCGCAACATCCGACAGCGTCGAGCCAGGCAGTTCTTCCGGCGCGAGCAAGTGAATGAGGCGGCGCAGGCGCTGAATCACCTTGCCCCCTCTACTACGCGGCCCACAGGGCCTATCTACAACAATGCGGGTCGGAAGGGCGCCCGCTGCAGCGCGGGGCGCTGTCTTGCATCGTCTACACCAACCGGTCAGTGCTAGCGGACGCCCCCCCCCCCCCCCTGATCTTGGACGAGCGGCGAGCCCTTGGGGGGCTCCTGGCGCCTCGATCCCAGCGCGGTCTGGAGCCAGCCAACTTGGCACGGCGCGTGCGACTTCTCAAAGTTGAAGATCTGTCGGGGCACTCTTGCGCCACGCTCCCCGATGGGCGGCCCCCCAGCGGGGGCCGCGCAGTTGCCTCGCAACTACTATGCGCAGATCGAGCGGAGTACGGACGAGCTGACCAGCCTAGCGCCCGAGCTCCCGGGGCCTCACTGGAACCCCACTCTTCGGCGGCCAGTGGCTCTGCAACGACGCGTGTTCAAACACCTGGCGGGCGTCGGACTTGCATCGTTTCGCCGGCGGGCGAGGGACTTCTGCGCACATTTTGCGCGAAGAAGAAGGGGGGCGAGATCCGCGTTGTTCTTGACTCTCGACAGGCCTGCCTCAGTCATCGGCGGCCACCCACAGTGCATCTGGGCTCAGCACGGGCCATGATCAACCTTGACTTGTCGGGCGGCTTTCTCAGCCAGTGCGGCGGTTGTGGCGCTGCGTCAGTGCCCACCTGCGCTGGTGACGCCGGCGTCGACGACTGCTTCTACAACTTTTCAAATGTGCAGCTGGCAGCTTGGTTTTGCTTGGAAGCAGGCAAATACCGCAGAGGGTGCGACCGAGTTCGACATCCATCGCATCTGGGAGGCGATCTTCGATGCTACGACCATCTTCGGCCTGCGGTCGCGGTCGCTCTATTTTTGCCAGAAGTTGTTTGAGAACCTGGTCGCTACACAGCGCCCGCTTGGGATGCGATGGGGCCCCGCGGGATCGATCGCCTGCGCCCGAGCTCGCCCGGGCTTCAACCGCGGAGGGAATCTACGTTGACAACTTCATCTCCTTCGCGATCTGCGAGGCTGATCCCCATGAGAGCGTCGAGCGTTTTTGCAGCACGTTAACTGGACAGCATGTCGGCACTCATGGGCGGCGCAGTGGTGTTACCTATCTGGAGACGCTGGGTCTCGAGTTTCATGCAGGCCATAAGGTACTTCGGCGCACTCACAGGCGCATCTGGAGGTTCGCCTTGGCCATTCGAGCCATACTCCGTCGATCGCACCTCCGAGGCGAGGAGATGGAGGTCTGGGTTGGCAACACGCACTGCATGTTCTCTTTTAGCTCCCGAGCTCCTCGCCATTCTCCAGGACGCCTGCACCTTCGTCGCCGAAGCGGGCGGCCGTCGGCTGCGGGCCCCCTTCCACCGCGAAGCTGCAGATGGAGTTGACTCGACGGCTGGCATTCGTGATAGAGGCGGGGCTTGGCGCCCCGATCTGGTGGGAAGTGCACATGGGCGACTCCATCACGTTCGGGCGCGCCTTGCTGCCCACCGAGCGCACGGTCCAAGAGTTCCGCGACGCCACCTCGCACTGGGAGCGCTGGCGCCATCGCGATGTCCATCGCATCGAGCCCGTCAGGCGCGACGCTCTGGAGGTGGTCAACCAGCTGGGCGGCCTGTCCTCTCAGGGTGAGCTTGGCGACGAGATCTTCTGTGACGCGAAGGTCCGAGGGCGCTCGGCTGCTCTGGCGTCGGGCGCCCAGACCTCGCGCGGCATCTGGCTGGAGGGCCAGGCCGGCGAGGCTCGGCGGGCGGCCCGACCACCTCGCTGCACGGTGGAGGCTGAGCTGAGGCCCCTCCCGAGCGGGAGATCTGCCTGGGCGAGGCGATCCCTCCTCTTGCGGACGGCTGGTCCAATCGAGAGAGGTGGGCCACCATGAACGAGAGGGAGTGGCAGTGGCCTGAGGAGCACACCAATGCCAGAGAGGCGCGAGAGACGCGCCAGTCCCTGTGCCATCTTGGACGGGACGCTCGTGCTCATGGCCATCGCTGCTCGCACATCGGTGATAACCTAGTGAGTCTGAGCGTGTTCGAGAGAGGAAGATTCAAAAGCCATGCCTTAAACACTCTCGCTCGACGCTCATTCCCTCATCGCATTGTCTGCGGTCCGCGGTATTGACTTGATATTTTGGCACGCCCGAAGTGAGCGAAATGTTGCTGACGAGGGTTCTCGCAGATTCGATCTGGACTGGTCTAAGGGTTACAAGCTTGATCGCTTTGGCCATGTTCAGAAGAGTAACCGAACGCATGGCGATCTTACGACAAAGCTAGACTCCACCGTCTCTCATTCCAATGCTAGGTTCCTTCCGCCTGACAATCTACACATGCTTTCGGCTCCTCCCACGCCGCCCAGCAACAGCTCCCCTGGTGCCTCGGAGAAGAAGAACCGCTTTGGGCCCTAAGAGTCTCGACCTCGGCAGCCTCCCAGTGGTGACGACAGGGTCTTCCTGGAGCTCTTCGCGGGCTCTGCTGGGCTGTCAAGGGCGGTGCAACGACGAGGCCTACGCGCTGGCCCAGCTTTGGATGTTGCTCGGGGTGATGAGTATGATCTTACGCGGAGAAGTACAGAGAGGCTCGTGCTGAACCTCATTCGCACGGGCAGGGTCTTCTGGGTGCATCTTGGGGCTCCGTGTTCTATATGGTCCCTATCGCGCGCAGGGGCATCACGAAGACGGAGAGGGCTAGGCAACAGGAGTTGGTGGGGGTCGAGCTGGCTATCTTCTCGCCGGAAGTCGCGAGGGGGTGCTAGCGCTGCAGTGTGTTCTGGTCTATTGGGAATCCTTCGCCATCGAAGCACTGGGTTTTCATCCGATTTACGAACTCTGTGGGCTTTCCTGGGGTCGAGAAAATCATCATCGATCGATGCCGGTACTCAGCGCCCCATAAGAAGCTCACTACTCTGATATCCAACTGTACTTCCCTAAGAGCCTTGGGGGCCCGCTGTCCAGAAGTTACTTCTACCCATCAGCATCATTATCTTCCTGGGGCGTGTCGCATTATAGGCTCAGATGGGCGAGCCAAGTGGGTTCGGCGCACTTCTGCAGCATGGGCTGATCCGCCCGCCCTCTGTCGCGCCTGGGAACGCGCCATCTGGGCCGCGCCCGCGGCTGCACGTGGAGCTTCGGCGCTCTGGATCGCGGGCTGGGAGGCTGATCTCCGGGGCGCCGTCGCTGCCAGCCAACGCCGACGACGGCGTCGCGCTGCCTCAGCTTCGCGGCGCACCCGCTCAGGTGACGCGGACAGCGGGGAGATCCACTTCGCGACGAGGGCGGCCAGGGCGATCGAGAGGCAAGGCATCCGCATTGCCAGAGCTGGGCACGGTACCGAAATGCAAGCGCGCTCGGCGCGATCGCCTCGGCGCAGTGGGAGAGCGGGAACGCCGCGCTGGAGGCGACACGAGCCCCGGCTTCTTTCGGCGCGGGACGGCCGGCCCCAAGACGTTGGAGCACTATCGCAGGGCCGTGGCCGATTTTATTGCATGGGCTACGCGGCGCAACCTTCCATTGTCGCCATCGCGGGCCCTTGCACACACAATCGAGAAGTATCACTTGCTGTTTACAGCCCTGCTGCGGGGCGGCTTGCGGTCTGCGGCTGGGCGAAGTTCAGCGCTGACAGCCGCGAGCAAGCGCTCCTGGACCTCGACCCTGCGGTGGAGGCGCTGAAGGGCTGGCCCAAGCTGATGCGCGAGTTCGTTGCCCAGCCATGCCCTGAGGAGGTTAGCTCTAGAGTCTTCCACTGGCTAGCTAAGAACGATGGGCTCGAGGTGGCCGCTGCAGGTAAACTGCAGTTCGACCCCTGCGCGAGGCCTTCGGAGATCCTTGACTTGCGCCGACAAGACGTCATCGCTCCATCGGCGTGGGCGGGAGCCGCCCACCGAAAGTGGGTCATCATTTGCGGCTCTTCTGACCAGGGCAAGCGTACCAAGACGGGCAATGTCGATGGGCACGTTGTCTGTGGCACTCGATCGAGGGAATGGGTGGTGGAAATCTTGCCCACG